CAGGTGTGTTGGAGCAGGAAACATGTAAAACATGTAGGGCTGCGGCCCCCCAGGACCAGGACTGCCCACCCCTGGTTTAGGAGGAAAGAATGAAAACGTGAGAATGTCTGGAGCTTTGTGCAGACAGCTCTCAACCTGTCCCCGCCTGTAGAGCTTGATCTGAGGCATGACTTTGGCCAAAATACACCGTTACCTTCTTGGTTTTATAAATTAAGAAAGTATAGAACAGATTTACGTTCAGGAAATGTTCATTGATGGGTCCAATGGATGGCCCTTCATCAGAGCTTAACAAACAAACAAACAAACAAACAAACAAACAAGCAAACATCTGAAGCTCCTTTGTTGAATAGTTTATGAGTTTTGAGCATTTTTGCATGTCCAGACGCCCCCCCCCTTTTTCAGATGGAGCCCCCTCCTCAAATACGGGGTCCAGCGTCAAACGGCTGGATGGCTCAGTGTAGACCAGCCATCCTTACCATTTCACACTGATTGGCTCAGCTGGTTCTGTGCTGTGGTTGACAACAATCTGTGGAAATAAAACAAAATGAGCCCCAGCTTGCGTGCAGTGATCATAATTAATGAATAAGATTGGKTTCTCATGGAGGTATCGGCCACGATGAGGGAAAACGTGTTTGATATCTCGGTGCACCCACAGCTTCGTGCCTTTAGTTAGTAAGTTAGTGTTGTCAGTATTCCTGCAGATAAAACTTAATATTTATTTAATAAAACGTTTTAAAACAGTGCTCTACTGATGCTCAGTCATGTTAACAAATTGGCTGCAGTTAAAATTTGACTTTGGATGTAAAAACCTATATTATAAATTTCTCTAAATTAACATCCAAATGTCTGACATCAGGTTTTTGTAATACTTTTCACTTGTGATGTCACTTCCTGTTTCATTCCTGCTGAGACAAATTCAAAAGAAAATGTGCCAGTCATGTAGAAATGTAAAAAWMGSRWAAAWTMMMMTTTWAWRKAAYMTRCRTWAAWWWWAAAAWMMTTTTTTTTTTACTTTTTTGTATTTGTGTGTATGTCACTGGCATTTAATGAAGGGCAAATAATTGTCCTAATACTTAGTTTACTGGGTTTTTAACATAAAATTCTAATTAATAACTAAATATGATAAATATTTTGTGCATTTTTGATGCAATTTGTTTATATAAAATCACTAAATTTGTTAAAGCGAGTGCTGTTAACTTTGTCACAGAGCTTTTAAATGTGACAAATCCAGTTTTTCACAGACACTGTTCTCCTTTGTAACATATCTAAAATCTCACCTGGTTTATTATTTTTCAGATTAGGACTAAATTTTCCATCATAAATGTTCTGCAGCGTGCAGAATAAATACCAAGTAAAAAAAAGATTTGAAAAAGGTTTTATGAATAATAAACTGAGAAGCTGCCTTCAGGCTTTCTACAACAGAAACCCTCCTGCCTCAGGCTGCAGGGCTTCGTTCTGTTTAAACTCTCATACTGAATGTGATGTTATTTGTTCTAACTTCTAACAGGTATGTACCAAGTACTTTAGTATTTTTTCATTACAAAATACTTCCTGCAGGTTTATTTTTTCTTTTCAGTTTTTATACATTTGATTTGATATAAATCTGTTTCTTTCCTTAAGGACTTGTAAGTCAGGAAAACATCCATTTTAGAACAATGAAAC